ACCTTTTGCAGTCTACCGTATGTTGAAGCTAGACAAAATTTATTAAATGCGACTAGTTCAGCGGATGCGATATGGAGAATGACTTCTGTATATGATTGTCGTGTGGAAACTACTTTCGTGGATATCAATGTGGGTGCAGGAATACAATTGGTTTCTAATGAAGCTGAAGCTGGACAACGAAAAGCGAGATGGTTTGACTATTACTCTTCACTATACAACTATTATCATGTTGTTGGTTGTCGATGGTATGTGATGATTGAAAATCTATCTGGTGAACCTTTTTGGGTATATCAAATGTATTTCAATGATGATTTACCGAATCCTGGTGCTACAAATGAAGACATGCAATTATGGCCTGGGGTTAAATACAAGTATTGTGACAGAAGGTTTTTAGCAATTACAACTGCTGGTCAAGTGGAGCAAGGTGAAGGTGGTGTAAATGAACAACTGGATGAAGCCATGACGCCTCAACCATTAGATATTTTTGAGACAACGAATCATGTTACTGGAAATGTTGGGTCTGGTAAAGTTACTTTTCAAGACGAATATCGTCCTGGTGATTTTAAGCGTGAAATAAGATTGGACTCCCAAGTAGAAAACTGGACTACAGTTGCTACGAATCCAGCACTACCTGAAAAACTATTAATTCGTATCAAGCCAACAAATGAGAGAACTCAAACGAACAGTGTCTTAAATGCAGGTGACACATTACGATACAAAATTGTGGCAAAATTGAACTATCTAGTGGAATTCAAGGAGTTGAAGACAGAACTACGTTATCCTGTTGTTAGACAGCCACTTACAATTACGCTCAATTCTAACATAGCAGCAGCGGATCACTAATGGTAACTACTCGAGCTGGAAGACGTCGACTAAGAGCAAGAGAAGAGTCTAACAGGAACTTTTGGAATCAAATTGACGAAAATGGATGGGAACAAATGCTACAGAATGCGAGACGTGGACAATTCCCTAAGAAGTATTGGCCTAATGACTATGCTCATCGTCATCGAAAACATGACCGTCAAGATAAGGATGTAGTTGTCCGTAGTCACACCCGTCGTAGTTAATAATACACTTCAAGTTGCCTTTATTAAATGTCAAAATCGTATTTAAAAGAAGAAGCGAAGCGTACTTCTTTCTATATCCTTTTTCGCGGCGGCG